TCCGACCTTGATCCTTGAAGTCTGGAAGCCCCATGGCAGATGCACCACAGTTCTCCAATGGGAGGTTTCTATCAGGAGGATGATAAAGCAGAGCCTAGAAGCACATTGGGGAGCTGGGATGATGGTTCTTACGGGTTGTGAGCGAAGGAAGGAGTGCTCTCGTTATGGGAGGCTCTGGGGAAGGAGCTACATGGCAGACAGTGGCTTTGTTAGTCCACATTTAATTCAAGTCAAAGGAAGGAATCAGTATCATGGGGAGCTTGGAAGAGTTGGGGAATTTCTTTATGAGAAACTCCAAGGTCCAGAAGGCACCGAGGGGAGGCATTAGGAGAGAATAGAGGGGGCCTGTGGCCTAGGAACACCATGGGAACATTCTGAAAGCCTCTGTCATTCCTGAAAGGCGATTGCTTCTTTGGGTTTGGAAGGAGGTGAGGTCAGTAGGTGGCTCACCGTTGTTCTTTTTTCACATGTGTTTATGCGGGCACACATGCGCACAGCTGATGTGTTGAAGTCAGGTAACAGCTTGTGGAAGGAGGCTCTAGTCCTCCACTGTGCGGATCGCCGTACAGAACATAGGTCATCAGGCTCCATGACTAGTGTTAGTGTCTTTACTGGTTGAGCTATCATGATGGCTCTGGGCCGTTCTTTCTGTCTCTCTGTCTCTCTTTTGAAACAGGGTCTCACTATGTAGCCCTAGCTGGGTGAGAACTCACTGAATAGACCAGGTTTTGAACTCACAGAGCTTTGCCCGCCTCTGTCTCCTAACAACCTGGCATATTGTTCTTAAAGAAGATTCCACAAGGGTTCCTGCAACAATTCCTTAGATCCTCCATGATAGATGAAGACTAGTGTTATTAAAATTTTATCTGTGTGGAGGACTCAGTTCTTTTTCCCAGGGTCTGTGAGACATGGGGCTAAGGAGTTGCTTTTGGAGGGCCTGGAGAGATGGCTCAGGGCTTAAGAGCACTGGCTGTTCCTCCAGAGGTCCTGCATTCAAGTCCCAGAAACCACTTGGTGGCTCACGACCATCTATAATAGGATCTGATGCCCTCTTCTGGTATGCAGGTAAACATGCAGAACATTCATATGTAAAATAGAAATAAAATATAAATAAAAAATTTAAAAAAAAGAAGTTGCCATTGGCGTTAAAAACTCGTGCTTCCCCCCTAATGAAATCATCAAAAGGGGATCTCTCCCCTCAAGTGGCAGAAGGGAATAGGTCTGTTCAATATGTTCTAGGGATCTGTCTCTCTGGAACAACCAAAAATGGGCAAGATATTATCAGGCCCATAACAAGACAAAAAACAAATACAAACACCCATGAAAAAGTGACACTGGCATTTGATAGGACAGTGCAACGCAAAGACCAAGGAGACAGCACCATGCATGCACTAGAGTGTCAAACTCTCCCATCATCACACTCGCTGCCCCGTGTGTAGACCAACCAGAGCTTTCCTGCACTGTTGTGCAGACTAGGAGTCTCGTGGAGTTAAACACACACTCGTCCCTTGACGTAGCTGTTTTACTCCTAAATATTAAGCACATATGTAAACAAGAGAGTCAAACAAACAAACAAACAAAAAACCCTGTGTGTAAGAATATTTGTAGAAGCTTTATGTTGGGGGAGGGTAATCAATTGGGGATATTTGCACAATGGAATGTTTCAACTTCTGACACACATAACGTTATGCATGAGCCTCAAAGACATCCTGGAACAGCAACGGAAGAACACAAACACTGTACACTCCCATTTCTCTGATATTCTACAAGTAGCTAAGAACCAGCTGGACTGACAAAGCTCAGAACAGTGCAGGAATGGAGGGAGCAACTAGAAGATGCTCAGGGGGTTGCACGCGGGCAGATGGAAGAACACCTTCTCGCCAGTTCCTCCCTGCCTCTTTGTACCTGGAGGAATATGGAGATGCCAAATATGGAGATGGGAGAGGACTGGTGTCTGTGAGAGGGAAGGTTTGGCTTTTTCCTCACACACTCAATACCCACCCTCCAGCCAATGGCTTGCTGCGGATGATCTGTAGACTGAGAATGAATGAGTAGCTAAGATAAGATGGGCTGAATACGTTTCTCCTGTAGCAGAGTCTGAAGGGCCTGAAATGCATCACTTAATGGGAGGAATTGTAAGGGGGAAGAAGTGAATCACGGCTCTGAAGATGACTGGATAGGACTACCCTTCTGGTTCGAGAAGCTCTTTCTTCCTCGGTCCCTTGGGGCTGGAGCAGAATCTTGTCAACTTCCTGTACTGTCTAGCATTGGCTCAGAACTTTGCTAAATGGTTAAATAAATAGAGGAGTTTCGGGCAGGGTAGGATAGGGCTTTGAATGCATCTGCAAAGCAATTTACTCAGAGAGTTGGTTTTCTTTCCAGTGCTGGTTGGAGCCATTGAGGGTTGAAACCTAGCTGGCTGGCTTTGTATCGCTAGATCACTGACCCTGTTCTTTTCCACGTGCTTTTTGTAAACCATCGCTTCCCGTCTAAGAGCAGCCGGTACAGTGACAGTTGAGAGGCAGCTGCGGACTCTGGTGGGAAGGAGGCCAGACTACATCCCTTGCTTTGCACTTCCTATTAAGAATCTCTCCTCATGAAGACTGCCCCCTGGTGGCCCAGGTTCATACCAGACTCTGCTGTCAACACCGATAATAGCTACCACTCACTCCCTTCCACTGGGTAGCAGAGATGTGCTGTTTTGCTCTGCCAAGTCTTTCTAGGAAGTCACTAAGGGAGGTGCAACTACCCCCCCCCCCATTTTACAGGTGAGAAACGGAAGATCAGAGAGTACCGAGCAATTAGGTGAGCAGAAAGACGGGGTTGGACTGTAGGTTTGGGTGTCTGTGACTCCAGAGCCAGAGTGAAGGTTGATGCCACTCTCCGGGTGGCAGTTTTGTTTTTCATTTTCAAATCGAGGGAAGGGTGAGAAGGGAGGACACTTTAATTGGAGCACAGTCAATGAGCAAAACTGCCATGACGGGTGTTTGGGTGAGGGGTGAGGGGTGAGGAGTGAGTGGCGGGGTGCGGGGGGGGGGCTGTGATAAGTTTAGGAGCCATGGGCTGGGATGCTGCGTCCTGAGCTGGGGCTGTGGGGGCAGAGTGGCCACAAAGCCACAACCATCACCACGGAGGATACAGTATCTGGCATCTGGTGCTTTCTTTACCTGGAGGGTCTCTGAGGCCTCCTGCCACTGTAAAGGGGGTGGGGTACAGTTAACCTCATTCCCATTTTACAGATTAGGAAACTGAGGTTCCCAGATGCTGGACCTCAAATTCTGGTATTTGATATTCTTCCTAGGGGACGGCACTTGACTTTTTTCTTCCTCTTTACTGTCTTCCTTTCTAAAACCCTGGCACTGTATAGCTGTCCACTTTTGCTTTAGAATTCACTCTGCAACTCTCTCATGGTGCCACTGCCTTCACTGGAACGAGCTGAAATGTGGCATCAGTTGAGATGGGGTTCTCTTATCTATCTAGTAAGGGCAAGGACAGAGTGGTTAGCCGAATTTGATTTCAAGTTAACAACAGATACTTTTTAGAAGCATCAGAGTGATCTAACACTGGTTTGGCTATCACCTACCCCAAATGCATCCATTGTTGACTAAATATTCAAGTGGAAACTGGGTGCCCCATGCACAACAATCACATTTAGCTACCTTAATGTTAAAAGGAGGCCCCACTGTGTTGCTTCACTCAGGTCTGGAGTTATTTGACCCCTCTGTCCCTCCTCCCCAGACCCTTCCACCTAGAGAGCTCTGATAGGAGCCCGGCTATTCTGGGAACTGCAAGGACCTGGTGACATGGAGGAGAGGAGAAGGGAGGGTACAGATGACCTCAGAGCACGGAGGCCGGTAGATTGGTGGGGAGAGCAGAAGGCAGGCCACAGGCTTTGCCTAGGGAATGGCAATGCTTTCATATTCCCGAGCAGGACCCAGTGTGGGTGGGAAGCAGATCTCCTCTCTCTCTCTCTCTCTCTCTCTCTCTCTCCCTCCCTCCCTCCCCCTGAATTTGCCATTGTCACCCTGCTCAGCTCCAGTTGCTTGATGCCAATCCCCAGGGTCTTTATCTCCTCTTGCTGTACTATCCCACTTCCAGGAGTTCATTTGGTGATGTCTAGTCCCCTGATAAGGCGTGTGTGGCCCCGTGCCTGGCCCGATAGTGTAGAGACTGGAGAGTGTGGAGTGTGTTGTTGCTGTCAACATGGCCTCACGCCATCTGTCCCCAGCTCCCAGCACTCTCAGGAAGGGGACTGTCTTCTCTAAGGTCAGAGTTATCTTGAGGACGCCACGCACCTTGCTCTTCAGGCCACACAACTAGTACACGGGCCATTGGGGCTACAGAGCGGAAAAACAGCTCAGGGGAAATGTGTGGTTACATTTGGTTTTACTGAGGGGCGGAGTCCCCACGGCCCTCCTCTGCCTGAGGGAGCCATGCCTTTGTCTTGGCTTTTATGTATCTGTCTTGCTCCCTCCTTCCTAAAAGGAAGACTGTCCAAGCCAGGGTACTCCACCTTGTTTCCCTGGCACCTGCCCCGGGTACTGGCCACACCTGCAGGAAGGAGGGACAAACCCGCAGCTGCTGAGGTTGGATGTAGGATGCCCAGGGGCAGATGGTCTGTACCCGGTACTTCGGGGTCTATGGGTGTCCTTGCACTTCACAATTTGACACTTTTGCTCCTGCCGGATCAGAGAGTCCCTGCTCACTCCTTCCCTTTAACGGCTTCCAAGGGTGGAAGGCTAGAAGTTGCCCAAGCACATGCTATCTTTTCCCAGGTGTATAGTGAGAGGCACCCCGCTCACCGCACTTCTGCCTGTCTTTCCCGGTAGTCCCGGCAACCTGCTTGAAACTGATTTTGTCCCATCTTTTTCTCTGATATTCACACTGCCTTCCAACTCCACTTCAGAGACTCAACACACTCTAAAGCAAACTTCAAACCTTCCTTCTTTCAGGGAGGCATAGCAAAGGATGCGGGGGTGGGGCTTCTTTTCCTTACTTACCTTGCACAGTGACCCGGGGGAAGATGGGAGACCTGGGACTCAGTGGGCGCTCACACAGGGAAGAAGTCAGCGATGAGTTTCTGCTCAAGTCCTTCATCCCAGCTGGAGAAAGCCACCCTGGCCACATCCAGACGAGTCAGAGTCAGTGTGCTGCGAATCCCAGCCACTGAGCAGGCTCCGGCAGGGATGAGCTCACCAGGATGTGGCCTAATGGGTTAACTCTTTGCAGGCTGTTGGCACAGGCACTTGAATGTGGCTTTCTCAGCTCTGCTCAGCCACTATTAGACAAATCTTGTGAAAAATTAATGAAGCTTTTCTGCAGCGTGCCTTTAAGTTTCAGGAGAAGTGTGTACTTGGCTGCTGATGGGTGGGCAGGATGACTCCCGACCTGGGCTCCGCAGTCCTGGGAGGCTCTGGGTTGGAGGAGGCTTGAGGTGCCGGTGGCAGGTTATCTGTTATGCCTGGCTCCGAGCCTGCTGAGACAGGATTGATGGTGAGATATGGGCCTCTCTACCTGCGTTGGATGTTGGAGACGTATGTGTAGAGTTAGGGAACAACTTCAGTTCCAGGATGGGAGGAATGCCTCTGGAGACATCCCAGGGCTCACAAGTATGAGTCTCTGCAAAACACCAGTAGACCAGAAGTCTGTCTGTGGAGCACGGCGCTGGCAAAGCAGCTCCCTCTTGCTTCTCCCAGCTGGCGCGACAGTGCCCCCATTGCTCTTTTTGTGAGAGGCCAGTTGTACCTGTGAAGATAAGGAAGCAAAACATGGCACAAAGCCTTCCACTGTATGACCCCATCAGCCTGTGCTCGGGGAAGCCGGTGTGAGCTGTGGTGTGGCCGGTTCTCAAGATGTTGATGGGCATCATGTGATGGATATTATTTAAGATTCGGGTGGCCAGACCGACTGCTGTCCTTCTCCCGACTGTCTTAAGAACATGGGAGTCATTGTTAGTAGGGCACTGAGGTTGGGGGAGGGGACCTCGCTACTAGCAATGGTATATTGGGTGGGGGGTTTCCCCTGTGGACTATAAAATGGCTTCCCCAAGAGTCATCTTAAGGGGAAGCTTAAGGTCAAGATCAAAGTCATGGGCTCTTCCATCTCAGGTGTCTTGATTTCCTTAACATGCAAAGATGGGGGGAATTCTTGCTAGGGAAGGCCTTGGAGGGAGAGGGATGGGCTATGTGAGCAAGCTTGGCTCCTCTGTGAAAATTGAACACTTGCACTTAGGGAGCCATGGAGGGAACAGATAGTAAGGAGGACTTAGGGGAGTTTGAGTCTGAAGAATTTAGTGGATGTCACTTCTCTAATGTTGGTGGCCTCTTACTTTATGCTCAGATTGGCTTGTAAAACTGGAGCTATCATGTGCCAAGGAGCCCTGGGATAAATTGCACTGCAATGCGGACAAGAACTTATTTTCCTTTAAATTCAGACTTCTGTGCTTTCTTTTCCTGCAGGGTGTGGCTACGTGGTACAAAACTCACCATCAATAAGAGTTGATCCATAAGCCCTAATTGACTTCTTCTATGCCAGTCATTATTCTAGGCATTTTATCTATATAATAATTCACTATTTACAAAGCCCCACGTGGCAGATAAGGAGGTATATTGTCATTCTCTGTTTGGCCTTGCACAAATTAGTTCTCTAAGCTTTAATTTATTAATTGGCCAATTTATTTATTGATGTTATCATTCTTAATTTAAATTTACATTTATATGTTGTGTGTGTATCAGGTGTGTGTGACAGGACATGTGTGTAGGGAGGTCAAAGGACAATTTGGCAGAGTTGGGAGTAGGTTTATTTATTTATTTATTTATTTATTTTATTGTTTTTGGACAAAGTTTTTCGGTAGCTTTTGGAGCCTGTCTTGGGATCGGTCTGTAGACCAGACTGGCCTTGAACTCACAGAGATCTGTCTGACTGTGCCTCCCATGTGCTGGTATTACAGGCATATGACACCACCGCCTGGTGGGGGTAGGGTTTTTTTTTTTTTTTATTCTACTTCTCAGGTTGACTGCCTTGATCAAAGGCTTAACGGTAAGCACCTTTATCTACTGAGCCATCTTGCTGATTGCCACTGTGGAGTGTTTTTTTTTTTTTTTTTAAACAGTGAATGAATGAGAAGATGCATATTGCAATTGCCTAAAGAATATACACGTGAAATGTGTATTCACAATGTATGCATGTGGAATATAGACATAAATTAAGTTGAAATTAGGGGTCAGACTCAGACAGCAACTATGCCATCTGTTGGCTCCCTCTAGCAGAACAGAGGAAGTAAGAAGCCAACTTGCTCTAGGGCAGGAGGCTTTGGGTGTCCTGAGCTGATGAGCTGCTCTTGATGGGGCGTTGATGGGGCAGTAAACAGGTCCCAGCAATTACCTCTTTTTCAGACTCATTTCCAAGTCTGTAGCTCACAATTCTTCTAGTTAGGTTCTGCTGCCCCTTTCCTGGTCAATACAATTTCCACATAATCAGGGACACCAGTGTGACCAACCTTCCATATGTAGGGATGGATGGGTTTCCAACACTAGATTTCAGAGCTGAAAGTAGGAATGCTCAGAACAAACTAGGATCAACTGGTTTCTTTAGTAAAAACTAGTGACCAATGCATTGCCACTTAGAGTCTCTCTGCTTGTGCAAGTGGGCCTGCTCCTTCTAGAATGTTCTTTCTGCTCATATTCATTTAGTTGACTAAGATTGGCCTCCCTCCCTTGTAAACCTTCCTCCTCTGAACCTTCATAGTTGTTCTTTGACCTATCACACTTGATAACCATGTCTTGTGTCTTCCCTGCTTTTTCTAACAGTCTCTCAAGCTCCTTGGAGGGCTTTTCCTCAATTAAAAAAAAATATGAAATGTGTTCAACATACACAAATCGGAAAAGTTTCCCAGTTAACCACTGTGTGTGCCCACAATGCTGAAGAAACAATGACCAATGCTCATTCTTTTTAAAAATTTGTTTCCCTCTTGCCCATTTTTTTTTTAATTGAAGCAAATTTCACTCAACTTTTCCAAGCATCATTGTAAGGTAGAGATGTTTATACCGCATGGATCAATGTAGCCGCCCCTCCTTCCTTTCTCTGATTTAAAAAGCCATAGCCCAAGCCTGTCGGAACCGTGCATGGCATTGAAACATTCCTTTGTCACGTGCTCGCTCAGCACTCAAGTGTGTACCACTCACTTTTTTTTTCTTTTTGAGACATGGTTTTTCTGTGTAGCTATGGTTATCCTGGAACTCTCTCTGTAGACCAGGCTGGGCTTGAACTCAGAGATCCGCCTGCCTCTGCCCCCTGAGTGCTGGGATTAAAGGTGTGCGCCCTGGCTCAACTGTCAGCTTCTTACAGGCAGTTTCTTCTGAAAAGATCCTCACAGCATGCAGGTGTGGCTCTTAGTACCCTGAGACGCTTCTAGTCAGGAGTCTCTTTCCTTTGCTCCCTCCCACCCTTACTTATGGAGGATTTCAGCTTTTCTGACTTAGGAGATTTCTCATATCATAGTGATTTTTTTCTCCTTAAAAAAATTCATTGTTTTATCAAAGCACCAAATAAACACGTATGTGCCTATCTTATACAATATAATGTTTGGAAATGCACATATATAGGATGGATAAACTGACCTAATTGGCATACCCATTACCTCATGCATTTGTCATTTCCCCTCACATTCTGGTCTTGGCTGAATGTTCCTTCTTGAGTCATTGAATATTTCTGTCCACACCGTGTGGCTTGTGTCTCTCATTCTGCTATGGCTTTGGCCTCAGATTCTCCTACAGTGTCTTGGTCCAGAAGAGATTCTCAACTCTATGATCATCAGATGCCGTACCTGGCAGTGTCTGTACGTTGCTTGATCCTTACAGTAGCCTGAGGTACAGGTAGGCCTGCAGCTTCTCTGCTGTGGTACAGTGAGTGCGACAGGCCACCAAGACCAAGACTCGAATGCCGGGATCTTTTCTCTCTTCCCTTCCTTTCCTCGCAGGAAGACAGACTTAAGACACAGGGACTCGCTAGTCATTCAAATCTCCGAGCTCTCTTTGGAGGAGGCCCTGTTCCGAGCAGTGGTTTCCACAGGCCTTGTTATCCCTTGCCAAAGCACACTAGGGACCGAACCTGAGTGGGATGTTGGGTTGAGGTCTGCAAGGTGGGACAGCAGTGGGGAAAAAAAAAGCACAATAAAAAAGTTCCTATGCTCACATTCTTGTCTCTCGTGCTGCTCTGTTATCTGTACATCGTAGTAACACAACAGCCGAGCATCATCATAGAAAATGCAGAGAACCCTCATAAACTCTTGGGAAATATGTCCGGGAGCAGATATGAGCGGGGGTAAGGTGGGGAAGCGGGGCGTCCCAGCTCTCACTTCTGTCTTTAAACATTTCCTCCTCGTCCCAGCCTATCCGCCTTCTTCTTTCTCTGTTTCTGCCTGGCGCTCCGCACACCTGGCAGTTCTCAAATGTCTTAAGTTCCCAGAGGAGCACTCTAGGGGATAAAGCCCCTTCTCCGCACTGTGAGCCGAGCAGGTGGCGTGAGACATCATCCAGCTGGGAGCTGCCTAGGGAAAAGGAGCGCAAAAAACGACAAAGGAAATTTTATCACGGGAAGAAGTCCTCTGGGAGACAAGAAGAATAAAACTACAGGTAGAGTTTGCACAAAAAGAAGTAGGAGGGCAGGACGGGAACCATCTTCTTTCTTTCTTTCTTTCTTTCTCCTTCCTTCCTTCCTTCCTTCCTTCCCTCTTTTTTTGAGGGATGCGGTTCCCAGGCCGTTCTTATCTGCTAGGACCTGTCCTTTTCAGCGGCTAGGGCCTGTCCGAGTTTCCGGAAAACGCTGGACAGGGTGATGTTCCAAGTAGAAAGGCAAGGCGTGGAGTCTCTCCCCCCCCCCCCCCCCCCCCCCATCGAGGGAGGAGGTAGCAACCGGCTCCTGGGGTGTGGCTGCCATCTAGTGGTCAATTCTGGGTAGAAAGCTTTCTGAAGTCTTCTTTGAATAGTCCTAGGTCAATCTGGTTTAGTAATTCACGCTGGATTTGAAATTAGAAAATCCAATTTCACGGTCTGTGTCGATAGATACAACATTGCAGAAATACTTCCCAAAATGTGACGATTTCAGAGAATTAAGACTTTCTAA